ATGTGAGGATAGATGAAGAATTTTTATACGTTTTTATTTATTAATTATTTTTTGTTTGAAGAAAAAGTTAAAAAAGAGTGACTTCTACTCCAGAAAATACGGTAGTGTCACCATTGGAGGACAGATGTTCTCTTTGTAGTGGACAGCTGTGGATCCATCAACCCCAGAAATAAACACTTATTTTAGATTTAAAAATGAATGAAGAGTTTTCATTGATTTATTAATTTTTGTTTAAATAAAAAGTTTTTAAAAAGTGGACTTCTATTCCAGAAAATACGGTAATATATCCATTGGTCAAATGTGGATCTATTACCCCACCATTAAAAACTTATTTTAGATGTGAGGATAAATGAAGAGTTTTTATTGATTAATTCACTTTTGTTTTAAGAAAAAGTGAATAAAAAGAGTGACTTCTATTCCAGATAATACGGTAAAGTCCCCATTGGTCCAATCGTAGCTCCACTGGTTTAAAAAAAAAGACTTTATAACCCAGAAATCTGCCTCAGATGTAAAAACTGCTGTCAGAGGGCTGAATTAAACAGATTCTGTTCCCGTTTGGGGAATCTTCCTTTTTAAAGGTTTCCAGTCGTTTTATTGTCTACAGGTGTATTTTTTGGTACTATTGTTTGGCAGATATGTGGACTTATCTGCTGTAATTCTGCTTGTAATCAGCAGAAATCAGACTGGAAACCAGAGAAAGGGCTGAGGAAACTCTTTGGGCCTTTTGGGAATTTCTGGGGTTTTCCTGCTCTCTGCTTCCATTAAATACAACAAAAGGTTTTAAAGGTTTGCACACAAAGTGTTATTGGACGGTTAAATGAAAAAGTAGAACCTCTAAATAGGAGTTTAACTGGTTCCAGGAATGACTTCTGTGTTAAATATTGGTTTCTTGGTTCAAATTTTCCATCAGAATACTCTGTAATTCCTAGAATTGGTTCCAAAAACCTACGATAACTCCTTAATAAATACAGCAGAACCTCTATTACAGAGTCTAACTGGTTCCAGGACGAATTCTGTGTTAAATATTGGTGTGTTGGTTCAAATCTTCCATCAGAATACTCTGTAATTCCTAGAATTGGTTCCAAAAACCTACAATAACTCCTTAATAAATACAGCAGAACCTCTATTACAGAGTCTAACTGGTTCCAGGAGCGAATTCTGTGTTAAATATTGGTGTGTTGGTTAAAATCCTCCATCAGAATACTCTGTAATTCCTAGAACTGGTTCCAAAAACCTACGATAACTCCTTAATAAATACTGCAGATAAT